CCCCCCCCCCCCCCCCCCCCCAGCCTCTTTTGTTCCCCGCTCCGGTGATGCTTTGGCTGCTCTTCATGTGAAATTAATTCCCAGGCGCTCTTGGAAGGCAGTCGGGGAGAAATTTCTCCCGCATCATCCTTTCGGGGCTAATTGCTGGTGATGTGACGTCAGCCCGATGGATTTCTCTCTTGAATGGCTGCGGGAGAGGCGAGGAGGGCCCAGCGCCCGCGGATGTGCACCCGAGCTCGCAGCCCTTCTGCTCGCCCAGCGTGCCGAAGCTCGCACTCGTGTAACCAAACCCTCAGAGGTGCTTGGCTTTTGGAATTTTTTTTTAATGGGAAAAATGTGGTGGGTTTTCTTTCTGATGGGGGGAAATTTTTTTTTTTTTTTTTTTTTTTTTAATGGGGGGAAAAAATGATGCAGGTATTGCTCTCCCTGCTTGTGAGCAGGGTGAAGTCCTGAGAAATGCGTGTGGCTGACTGGGATGGGTCCTAAAGATGGTGATGCAGGGTGAGAGGTAGAAGTTAAGTTTCCATCGCAGATACCGGGTCACGCTGGAAAGCCGCGATTGTGAGTGCTGAAAAGGGCTGGTTGTGCTGAAGAGCTGCTGTCGTGCCCGGCAGGGAGCAGAGATGGGGAGGCAGCTCCTCCATGCACGCAGGTTGGTGCTGATGGTCGCCATCCCTGTCTTTGCTGGGCTGCGGTGGTGGCCTCGGGGACAGACCCACATGTGCCCCCGGCCTGGGTGTCCTCTGCCCCGGGATGGGACTGTCCCCGCTGTCCCTCGCAGCGGTGGGTGCTGTTTCGGGTGAGTGTGGATGCAGCTCCTGATCTCGCAGCCGTGCACGGGGACTACTTCAGTGCAAGCGTGAGGGGTTTTAAAGCATCTTTCCTGCCAGCAAAGAAATAACATAACTGTGCTTTTGGAGCTGGTTAAAGCCAATTTTGCCAGAACCAATTTTATATCTGACATATTTACTGGGGTAATCCTAGTAGTGTCCCTGTAACTCCTATGTTGGTGTTGCCTGTTGCCTCCAGCCAAACTTCCCCCTGCCCTTGCAGCAGCTCTGGGAAGTGGTTTTCAAGCCGGCACGGGTCACACACCCCACTGGGGGGGTGGCTGGAGCGAGGCAAGGCTCTGTGCCGGGGGGCTGGGTGCCACGGCTGGCAGAGAGAAAGGGGGGATGTGGCAGGTTGCTGGGACAGGCTCATAGCATCTGGCTCGGGTGGCATCTCATCAG